TATCAATGTCCGTAAAAAACAATAATCTAAGAATTAAGATATTTAATAGTCATGTGACATGAAAAGTAAATGTTTTAACATTTACCTTGAAAGAATCCTGTCAGCTTGCACATTACTTCTCCGAATATCCAGACTTTATATACGGTCTGTGCCATCGCCATTGGCATGCACAAGATGGTCACTAGAAAAGAACAGAAGCAAAAAGTAATAAAAAAAGACATTAGTAGAAAATATGGAAACATTTTAAAATTCACTTTTTAAATAACAACAAATCGGATTTCCAGATTAAATTAAATTAGATTATTAGCGATTTTAGACCTTACCAGATCTCATACGTATTTTTATGTATGTATGTATGTATGTATGTATGTGTATGTGTGTGCGCGCGCTTGTGTGTATTTATGTGTGTGCGTGCGTGTGTATGTATGTATGTATGTGGTTAGAATGTTCGCTTAATGACTATGTGACTCGGGTTCGAATCTCATCATGGTCAATTTGTGAAGAAGGCGGCTTCTTGATGTTATTGGTCTGGGGGAGGCGATCCCAACGCGTGGCACCTTCGGAAAGTGCCTGAAAACCGTAGCACGTGTTGATCCAAGTCTTGTGAGTGAAATTGGGTACACGGAACTCCTTGCGAGCCGTCGATGTTTGTGCTAGCACGAAGTCATAAGTTATCGTGCCCGAGGGTTTAAGCTTGCTGGCCTTGTTCAGAATTGATCATACTCGATAACGCGCTCTCTGCCAGAAACTAAGGTCTGCTCAGCAGAATTGCAGTACAAACCACCGGTGAGCTCTGTGGGTGTTGAACAAACACAAATGTGCTTGAGCAGGCGTCTGCAACGGGGTTGGATAGCCGCCCGAGTAGACGGACATCTTCGGATACGAGTGGTCAGCCTTTTTATGTATGTATGTATGTGTGTACGTATGAAGAGTGGGGTTAGGAATGGATCCCTAAATTACTATGAGGTGCCAACTTGGCCATGTGCTCAATGCAATCGGATATATTTGTTCAGGGCGGGCCTGTTCAGTCACCAGCGGTTACACCAACACCAACAGTCTATTTTATATGACGATTTCGTAGTGACATGCTTTGAATACCCGACTTGCACTAGGGTGTGCAAGTCCAGGTCGTGCATGACAAGGCATATGAACAAGGCACATTGGAAATGATGATGAACAAAGTCTCCTTCCACCACCCGGAGATGATTTAATATGCCACATATGTGACAAGAAATGCAGATCGATGGCTGGCTTTATGAGACATTGTCGTTCACACAACCGATGAATGGTGTGTTGCGGGGTGGGTGGAGAAGTTTAAGTGAAGAGCTGGACATTTCAGTGACGGCCATACTCGATTTGCGAGTCGACAGCCACCATGTATGTATGTATGTATGTATGTATGTGTGTTAGGTAAATGAATGGCAAAATAATGTTTTGTTGATGGTATTTCATATCTTTAGGATAGCGATGGGGATATAAGAACGTAAGTGTTGGATATAATCATACATTGTGTAGGTTACTATATTCAACTTATATTATCTTAAATATATATATTATAAACATTAGGAAATATATTGATAAAGACTACATATTTTAAACGAATGAACTTATATAAGCCATAATGGATTGGTTTGATCCTCAATTTACCAAAGCCAAACAAATCGTGCTGGGTATGACGATCAACTGCATCCGGCAGCAAGGCCTCTGATCGGGAAGAGGAACATGGAACTACCTCTTAATTGCAGTTGTTCCCAGGCCCACTCTGACATGGGCAAATAGTTAACCCCCAAACTATGGTCAAACACTATGAAAGTACAAAAATACATTGTTATAGTAAAAATACCAGCAATACATTTTCATAGTAATAAATAACCACTAATACATTTTTGTAAAAAAAAAAAAAATTATCAGCAATACATTTTTGGGAAAAAAAATAACAATAATACATTTTTGTAAAAGAAATTACTAATGCTCCCAAGAAAATTAAATTTCAGCATTAAATGACCCATAAGGAGTCGATATGCCGCTAAACAAACAGTTATAGATCTATTTAAACTGAAAACTATGAATGAATTATATTTTATATTTTTTGGGGATGAACAAAAAGGAATAAAAGACAAGTGTATTTTAACACATAATAAAATAACTTATTCATTTACTGCCTGAGGACAGCAAGGAGTGGTTTAGATTTAAGCCATGAATTTCACGTGCGTGTCAGCTTGTCCCCATGTTGGATTCAGAAGTGCTGCGCCGACCAGGAACCAAGGGAAGTAACTCAATCGTATTTTAAGATATTGTCCTTTATAGGGGGCGTAAGGCAGGCTCCTTGTAAAATGACCTTAATTATTCTCATTGTTTTGTACAAAATTACGTCTAGCTTAATCATACTGAAAACGGAAATTGAACAGTTTAAAGTTACCTTGTTACATTTGTTTCAAAACACTTTACAGAACAATGACAAGACAAACACTGTAGAATAGGAATTTTCCAGGGTGCCTCTCAAAATATTAAACTCGAATTAGGCATAAATAAATACTGCATACTGACAAAATATTTTATTTGGATTATGTCATCGGATTGCATTATCACACGCGCGCAGCTCCATTCGATTCTATGTAAATAAAATCTATTTTAAACGGAAGCTTGCATCACTCATGAGACAAATCTACGCTTCTTCAAATGCACATGGGCATTTTGTCTTCCATATTGAATTGTTAGCGTCACTGCCATTGATTTCTTCTGTTGTTTTCTTTATTTTTTTGTTCGCCTCTCTCTATTTGACGTCATTCGCAGCTTTATTTTCTTTCTTACGTGATTTTTTCTAAGCATCAGCATATATATATATATATATATATATATATATATATATATATATATATATGTGTGTGTGTGTGTGTGTGTGTGTGTGTATGTATGTATGTGTGTGTGGTTAATACAAATATAACATTTTTCATTTGATTGATATATTCAGCACCATCATTCCGGAGTTTTGTAGACAAAGTATTGTGTAATTGTTCCATTCACCCTTTAGGAGGTATCAGCAAATGTCTGTCAATTTTCTAGTTTTCGTTAGTTAATAAAATAATTTACAGTTTTTTTTTTTATTAGTATTACATTGATTTCCCTTCTTTGTGTGTGTTTGTGTGTGTGTGTCGCGCGCGTGTTTGTGTCTGTGTGTGCGCGTGTGGGTGTACGTCTGCACGTGTGAGGATATGCACATGCTTAATATGTCCTGGTTTCTAATTTACAAATTTTCTTCTCTCCTCATACTCTCTTATTATTTCTTTTCTTTATCCTTCCGTCAATATGTAGAGAGTTGTCATATATATATATATATATATATATATATATATATATATATATATATATATATATATATATATATATATATAGTTTTAAGGTGTGCAATATTTGTGGAATAAAGTGTCCAATATCAGAGATAGAGCGTATGTAAATGTAAAAGGTATTTATATATATATATAAATATATATATAAAGGTTAAAAGAGTCTGTTTGACCAACACAAGGAATGTTAAAAGATTCATGTTAAAAAGATAAAAAAATAAAAAAAACAAAACAAATGAAAACTACAGTCCATTTTCTTTATCAAGACATTCATTTCTGTAGTTTACTGCTACCAGCAAGCAGAAATATTTCTTCTCCTGATGATGGCCATATTGGCCGAAACTAGTCGAGGAATCTAAATGAAATAATAATAATAAAAACGAAAGAAAATTAATCTACAATCCAGTGCGTCTGAAGATTTTAATTTTTTAATATTTTTTATTGTTCAATATATATATATAAGTACAGACAATCCTTAAAAATCCATTCGGTTATAATTTATTCATGAATGTACAAAATTATATTCAACCCTTCAGACCTACGTTTTCTTAATAAATTTATGAAGAAATCTTCGGTCTGAAGAGATGGATATTTGTATATTCATAAAATAAATTCTAACCGAATGAATTTTTAAGGATCGTCTCTACTCATTATTATATTGCTCTCTTACTTACATTGAGATCGCTTTAGATTAATGTCCTCCTTGTCATTATTCATACTTATTATCAATTGATATTATATATATATATATATATATATATATTTATATAAATGAGAACGAATCAAATATAAATTCCGACGTTCATAACATTAATTTAAAAGAATAGTCGAGCTATATTATTTATTTTAGGATATTACATCAAAAACATGTGAATAACGCTACACAGATACAATCATGTTTCGATGTGTATTAATACATCTCAACAGGCGTTACACATCGAAACATGATTGCATTTGTATATATATATATATATATATATATATATTAAAAAGAAGAGGGGTGCCGCAAACGTTTTTGGTTGTAATGTGGATTTATTGAGAAAAAATATTATACTTTGTTTTACATAATTTCACGACACGTGTTTCTGGTCTGGTCTCGCAACCGTCTTCAGGTGAAAGTGGAGATTTTTACATATTATTAAAAATAATTAATTTTTCTTCATGTTCAATGTGGAATATTCTCGATATGAGACATTCTGTTTGTGTGTTGGCAATCCGAATTTTCTTTCTAGAAACCACTACAACATATTTCCTTTATATATATATATATATATATAAAGACATTTTTTATGCTTATACGTTCTTTTTATAGATACAAATATTTAAGTAAATGCTCTGCTCATAATATTTGTGTCTTTAAAAAGAACGTATAAACATAAAAGATGTTTTAAAATAATTATCAGACTTTCTCCATTTCATAATATATATATATATATATATATATATATATATATTCCTTAAAAGTAATAGGCATTTGAACATTTGTGATAAATTGCTAATGTTAATGACAGAATATGCATGAGGGACAACAGTAACCTCACACACATATACACACACATATACACACACATATACACACACATATACACACACATATATTATTACATAATGTTATATGTACTTATTTTAACTGTAGCGTTTCTCTTCAGATAGTAA